TCTCTCTCTCTCTCTCTCTCTCTCTCTCTCTCTCTCTCTCTCTCTCTCTCTCTCTCTTGCTTCCATGGTACGCTTTCAGAAGGATGAAATTGGATTATCCCCATCCTTCGAAACAGAATTGACCCAGGTAAAATTCTACGAAGGTCCATCCTTGGAGCCTCGGTTTCACGACTAATTATCAATCGAATTTCATCGATGCTAATAACAACGAACGATATCCAATTGAATTACAGATAGATAAAATTCCTCCTTCAAATTTTCCATAAAATATCCACAAAGATCCACGCTCTGATTACAATTACGTTTCAAATATATAATTAAATTACACAATAAAAATTCCTATCCTAGCCTTAGACAACTCGTAAAAGAATCGCGATAACCCCTTTCCCCCCACATCTATATAAACCACGTCGGTCCGCGATGTGAACCGTGAATTCCGCGAACGTAACATCTAGAAGCACTAGAGAGGGGTGCACGTGTGGCTCACGTGTGTGCCACACGGAAGGGATGAAGAGGGCGCACGTGCAACCGTGACACCGTGTCGGCTCCACGTATGTGCAAGCACGTATGCATACGTGTATGCATGGGGATCACGTTGGCGCCGTACGAGGCATATGCCAGCGTTTCCATAACCCTCCCCCCCGGCCACACCCTCGAAACCCCGCTCCATCCAATCGTGCCTCGCTTACGAGCCGCTATTTTCTCGCCGAGGGAAACATTCCGGCCGCATTTTACAGGAGGGAGGAATAAAGCAGGGAGCTTCTTCGTTGTAGATCGTAACGCGAGAACCGTCAACTCCGTTTCTGGTTTATGACCGTGCACTTGATTCCAATTGGAATTTGGAAAATGTGAGTTTTATCATTTTCTATCGAATTATATAAATCTTCGTGTGTTCATTTGTTTTATTTAATATTGTTAATGAGAAAAAAAAATTTGTTTTAATAAGTTGCAATTTAAATTCCATTAATAATATTATATAGTATTCCCTCAATTGTCCTCGTCGTAGATAAGTAAGCATAGATTAATAAAATAGGGTCGAATAAAATAGTCAAGTAAATACAAATCAGTATAGATTATAGATTAGTTATATAGCAATCTAGTTGGCCATTGTCAGGCGAATAGTACATTAGAAGAATTATAGTTAGACAATGCAAGTTATAATAGAGATAAAATAATATTTCAAGAATCTTTAACATCAATTTCAGCATTAACATCTTCGCAGTTCCACTTTTTGTCCATCCAACTTCTCCTGTCTCACATCCATCTCCCTTAAACCCTTCACCTGGCTTCCTCTGGTTCTTGCTCGAACGCTTTATATTCAATGCAATCGGTCCAAAGCAGATCCATTAGCAGATTCTGTTTAGATGCATCGCGCGGATCTATATGAGCCCCAGAAAATGGGATAACTGCGGATTGAATGTGTGCCGATAACCACAAATCGTTCGGGGTAAGCGTTTCCACGTAGAGAGATATACGTGGAGGTTGCGAGCCAATGGCAATCGAGAGATTAAGTTTTTTATTCCGGAAACAGGAATGGATGGACGGGGTGAGGGGCCCCATGCTGATTTCTAAGCCAGGCTTCTTCCCGCAGAAACTATCTTTCATTGTTAGAAACCTGTCTAACGGAGGTAACGAGGATATCGGGTAAGGTATAGGTTTCAGGGATTGTCCAATTGGATGATTAACAGCTAGCAATAACTTCATATTATTCTATAGATGATATTTTAAGACTAGGAGTTAAATAGATTAAATATTCTATGAATGATACATTAACACAAATAAGAAATTGGCAAATAATGTATTGGTGTTGGACATTCTATTAACAAATCGTTGATCCTAATATAGAAGAAGTCTAAAACTAGATATATAAAAGCAAAGTAATGAGGAATAATGGATGTCTTATTCTTAGAGACGGAGTGCAATAGAAATAAATTTAAAACTAGGAGTTAAATAAATTAAATATTCTATAAATGACACATGAACATAAATGAGAAATTGGCAAGGGAATGTATTGGTGATGGATATTCTATTAGCAAATCCTAATATAGAATAAGAATAAGAATATAAAAGCAAAGGGATGACGAATAATAGATGTCTTATTCTTAAAGATGGAGCATAATGAAAGAAGGAAGAAAGAGAAGAATCTTTCGAAGAAAAACGTGGTTTTAAAAGAAATCAGAAATTGATTTCAAACTATTGCTTTCCCCAAAATTACGACTTCGCACGAAACTTTAGGAAGCAAGAAGCGGAGGCAAAGCGTAATTCTCTGCCTGTTATTCATCCGCGTTTTCGTTTCGAGTCCACGGAACCACGACTTGCGGGGCGGCTAGACGCGGAGGCAAGGCTTTTAATTAAAATATGGAGATCGGGCAGGCAAAGCCAGCCATTGTGGCTACGAGTCGAGCTGCAATAATAACAGATAATATATCGCGCGTTGGAAGCCGGTGTAACTGGCTCTTTCAAACAATGAATTCAAATCCTGGGAACAACGCCGCCCACAATCACGTCTCGAACCTTTTCGTGTACTTCCGCAAGTGTGACGAGGAGTCTCCATATCCACCCTCTCCTGGAGATTACTCTCCGTTTCCTCTTTGCAAGAAGTAATAATCTTCGCTTACATCGTTGAAATTTTTTTATCGTGATTAAAAAGACGATATACGCGAACGAACGAGCAACAAGTCTAATAAAACGATCGTGCATAGTAATTTAACGAGGGATGGGCTTTTCGTGTTTTACATTTTGCAGAGTTTTTTTTTTTTTTACCTTCCTTCATTCTCCCTACATCGATATAAAATCTTTTTTACGTTTCGATTATTATTTTGAACAAATTTAAATTGTATCTATTTTTTTTAAATAGATGGATTAAGATAATAGGTGAATGATAATACGTGAATGGAAGAATTGTTTTATTTATATTCTACTTTTCTTGTGATAAACACAGGATACGAAAGTAGTATATTAAAACTACTAAAGAAATTAACAATTTCTTTAGTAGTTTAATTGTTTATTTATTTGGCATACGGAAAACTTAATCTTTGATCGGTTGAGAGATTAAGTTCGATTCGTTTGAAAGAATGAATATAAATAAAAAGCGAGAGAAATATTCGTTGAAAAATCATTTTCTAGGTAATTTAATATTGAATTTACGAATTGTACGAATTTAATTTTAGAGCATGAAAGGATTCTAACGCGATGCTCTAACGCTTTCGATTTGATGGAGCGAATCAAAAGATACCACGAGGATCTTGATGTGACGCGTGATGCACTTTTTGTTTGTCCGATTCATCCCAGTGTACGACTAACCGCAGAGACCATAGGGTGCATCCTCATTAGTCTACTCTGACTCGGTCTGGTTAACTGATTGGCTCGCCAGTCATTATCTCCATTTCACGCTTCGCGAAATCCAGTGTCTGGTATTCCCCACGTTGAACGTTAATAGCAATGGTGCATCGAGGATCGATGCATTTATGTATAGGTGACAACGAGCCTTAGCAGTTTTACCGCGGAATTCCAATATGCGCTCTGCGGTTTGGATTCAATTATACAGGGTGTTAACGTATTCATGAGATATCTTTGGACGGTCGATTCTGAAGGGAGAGAGAGAGAGAGAAAGAGAGAGAGAATAAATACGGACAAAAAAATTACGATTGAATTATTTATTTATCAAATTACAGGCGATCGATGTTCGCGTTAAATGAAACGAAACGGAAATAAAACGAGATCGCTCTGTTTCCCTCGCTTCTATTTCCGCCTCGCTTCGTCTAAATTACGCGAATTTAAATTACTTATAATTTAGTAAATAAGTCTCAATCGATATTTTTGTATAGAATCGAATTAATACTGTATTGCGGGGAAAATTTGCAATTTCATTGAGATGCATTTTAATGCATCTCATTAGTAGCCATTTAATAAAGTATCAGATATTATGATAACAGTTAATATTTGAACAAAATATACGTGCTTTTGTTTTCTTTCTAAATTTTGTAATTAATATACCACTTGCATTATTGTGTTAACACAGTATTTTATTTAACGATCCAATCTTATTTGCTCGTCGTGAAAATAAAAAGGAATTCTTCAACCATCTTTCTTTCTTACATCGAAAGGAATATGATAATATCGCTATAAAATTATTGAAACAATTAAAAATCTCGTCCGAGCTTCAACTACAATCCGTTAAAGAAGAATCTTAAGATTCGATATCAATTTCTCCAAAGAAACAATTCTCGTCAACGTGCAAGATTTAAAGGCAACAGATCGTTGCTTTTTGTATTTGCATTTCATATTCTATTGTTAAGATACTCTTTCGAACTCTTTGCTCCATGACTCGGGACATTTAGTCTTGTCTTAAGAATTTTATTACTTGTAAAGTATCGTTCGACAAAGGGAAGAAAGTCTTCTAGAAAGAATCACTCTGTTTGGATAATTGGCTCGTCCTCGAAGAACGTTTCGTTAAAAAACTGAACGAAACGTTTAAGAAACCATTCGAATTAATTACATTTCTTTTTTATTCAAGTTTGAACACGTTTCTCTCTCGTTTCTCTCGTTTGTTCAACGAACGAAATAATAGAAAGATGCAGACGTATGCAACGTTAAATAAAGTAATTTTCGTTCCTTCAAAAAGTATCATTTTATTTTTCTATTCTCATTGTATACATACCGTTTATAATTTTAAACAAATTTAAACAGAATTTCATTAATTCATTATTTTTCTGAGAAAATATATTTCTTATTTATATCGATATTTTAATTTAATCCAAATAATACGATAGAAATTTATAAAAATCGCAAACAAATATTAAACAAAATTTTAAAAAAATATAAATATATGATTTCGACTTAATTATATTTCTCTCTTCCATAAATTATAACGCATTTTCTCTCTCTCTCTCTTTCTCTTTCGTTTCGTTCAAAAAAAAATAGAAAAATGATGAAGAAAGGATGGATCGTCCAACGATATATAATATCACAGGTGTATCGATCGAGATAGAATAAAATGGAGTGCAAAAAATTTGCTATCGTTTATCATCGTTTCCTTTGTCTTCGAAAAGATTTAATTCCTGCGTTGGAATTTCGATGAATATGGTCAAGACCATCGCGGTTTCTCGTACATTGACCGATGAAAAATTATCTCTTAAATCTTAGAAACAATCTCAGTTCATTTCAAGCTTAGTATATGTTAGTCTGGAAACTGCGTGAATTCTTCTACGATAAAATTCTTTTTTCTTTTTTTTTTTTTATTAACAAATATATGGAAAATTGAAAAATTGTTTTGTTTCAGAATCACATATAATAATAAATAATATAATATTATTATTTTTTTTTAAATATTTCAATTTTGAACTGAAACTCAAACTGAAATTCAAATAATTGATTATAAATATTATAATATAAACGATAGCAAATTAAATATTCTTTCAAAAGACGATAAATAAAAATTGCAAGATACGAGATTTTAACTTTAAAAAGATAGAAATATCCATATCGTATCATCCACTTCTAAAATTCTTAGAATCAGAAAATTTCATTCCAACCTGGAATACCAGAAATTTCGCATTCGAGGAACCTCTGTTTGTAGTCAAATCCACGGGAAGAAGGGGCCCATCGTGATATTCTCAGAGTCTATCCGGGGGTTGGGAACAGGCCGACTGAAGAAAAGAGGGTCGATACGGAAATCGAATTTCCGTAAATGATATTCACAAGGCGAAAGGAAAGACTGGATTCCCTGGATGTGTGTGTTTGCCCATGAACCAAGAAATACATACTTTCCCTTCCTCCCTCCCTCTTTCTTTCTCTCTCTCTCTATCCCTACTATCTCCTTGCCTCTATCTCCATCCTTCTCCATCTCCATCTCTCCAATAAAAGAAAAAAAAAAGGGTAGAACAAGGGGGGCACAGAAATATCACGTTGAATAGAGATTTCCAGAATGTTAGAGGGGGAGGGAGGGTGGATAAATCTCGGGGAAGATTAGCTAAATCGTTGTACACGTTGAAAGAAAATAGTCCAGCCAGGGGTGGAAAGGGTGGGAAGGAAGGAAAGAAAGAAGATATAGGAGGGAACGGCGCCAA